ACCTCTCAAAGTGTAGGTCGTCACATTCCAGAAGACTGTAATCTTGACAGTACTGCAGACTTTTATCCCGCTGTTACCACCACATTTTATAGATTCGTTACTTATTTTTAACTCATAATATGAACTTATTAGGATTGATACCATGAAAACGGAAGCAGAAAACTTCTCCGAAACGTCAGTACCTACCTACTACGCTTCATGGAATCGCATACTACAAGATCGTACTTCGATAGTTATCACTGAGGCACTGTGCTGGTATGGCACAGTGCAATTACCAATTACCAAACATGTAGCCTCTTTAGCTCAGTGGCAGAGCACTGGTCTTGTAAACCAGGGGTCGTGAGTTCAAACCTCACAGGGGGCAAACTAAAATTTTGTTTTAAATTATATAACTCGTTAACGGGAGAGAAAACGAAATTTTGGTACTGAAATTCACAAGTGACGGGTAGGGCTTTAGTGTCTTGATTACTGACCAATATCCTATATGCATTCCTTTTCTCCCCCCATCGTGCTACATGCCCTGCCCACCTCGTCCTCCTTGACTTACTCATTCTAATTATACTTGGAGAAGAGTACAAGTTATGAGCCTCTCGTTGTGCAGTTTTCTCCAGCCTTCTGTCACTTCATCCCTCTTAGGTCCAAATATTCTCATCAACACCCTGTTCTCTTACACCCTCAGTGTATGTTCCTCCTTTAATGTCAGAGACCAAGTTTCGCACCCATATGTAGTCTGGTACATATTTAGGAATATTCCGGAGGAACCTTCTACCTTCATCTTCAGGGTAGAAAAGCGATTTCACATTCCTACACTTAAGATAGACCCTGCAGTTTCTTTCGAAACGTTGGTCATTATCTACCAGAATATATGGCAGCACATACCAAGGGACAGGAATCAGCGCCTTCAGAACCTGCACCCGTACAGATCCCAGTGCATCCTGGGTATATTTTGCGTGTATGCAACTTAACCCGACGATGTAATCGAGTAGGGAAATGCTACTTTTACATAATCGCGATGCACCATCGGGAAACGTGTCCACTCTGAGTTGTACGTCTTGACAAAACATTAGCTCACGATATAGATTTTTCGAGAAATAAAACTAAATGGTCCAATTTGAGCTTCCTCAGAATCAAGAATTGCGCTGGACCGATAAGAACAAGAATTCAAATCAGCCGATACCTTTTGGAGCAGACTTAAAACAAAATAATGGAAATCTGTCCGTTTCTGGGCTATTCGGAAAGTTACCACCGTTTTTTAGGCAACTATTGTAGAAGAGGAGGACGGCTCACTCATGCGACGTAGCCTTGTAAACTATCATATAATTGGTCACCTAGTGATTGTTCTTGTCTCTACAGAGTGAGTTATGGTGTGTCCTGCTATTGATAATCCCGCCAGCTACGAAATTATCGTTGTTATCCGCTTTCTTCACACTAAAATCGTGAATTATGCTCGCCGGTTTACAGCCAAAGTGCAATGAGCGAAGGAACTGTAAGACAATGGTGTAAAATGTTCAAAGGTGGACTAAGAAATGTTCATGTGGCCGGCGACTCACGTCCGTTTAGTGCCGAGAACATGAATGACGGAACTATATTTCCACTCCCACCATACGTCTTCATGGCATAGTACTCGAGTGCTCAACTAATTACGCACAGAGATGACTTTACCGTCACCTTACGCATAGTGCTGGTAATCACTTGGCGGGCTGTTTTAGACACTCAATTAATTTAAAGTATTCAGGGGCCTACTTACAAAAATAATTCGCTTCTGAACTAAGATTCTTGATGTAAAGCTAGTAGGAATGGGACTAACGCACCTGGTTGTTAATAGTAACACTCTTGACCTGAATTCGGGAGGTACTTTGTACGAACCTTGAACGCAACAGCGGTTGTTACTGTGAGCTTTTTCGTAGTTTTCGGCACTACACAGAAATTAATATGGCGATGCTGCCTTCATTATGTCACAATCACTTCCTTCCAAATCCTTTCCAATTTATTATTCAGCAATTATCCTACCACACGACCTTACGTGGGGCACGCGGTAGCATAGTTGGTTGAGGCACTATGCTACAAGCCGGAAGGTTGCGGGATCGAATCCCGATGTAATTGAATGTTTCAATTGAATTAATCCTTCCAGCCGCACTGGGGTGAACTCAGTTTCTAACAGAAATAAGTACCAGGAATCTTCCTGGGGGTAAAGGGTGGCCAGCCGGCGCGTAAGGCTGACAACTTCACTGCCATCTGTGAGCCGACTGTCTAGAAAATGTGGGGGCCTCGACGTCTCACGCTCCTATGGGCCTCCACGACCTGTTACAGGGATAGCTTTACCTTTTTAGCTTTTACGACTTTACGTAGTGTGGCAGCATTGTAAAATAAAACACAAGCGAAAGAAAGGAAATAATTTTTCTTGTAAAACAGAAAGGACGAGAATGAGCACTCACTGTGATGTTATCGAAGCCAGCACAGGAACATATGAGCACTGCCGGGAGCTCGAGGGTACGCGGAACACAGGTCTGTACCTGCAATATAAATAATTAAATGAACAAGAACCGTAAAGCATTTTAACTCGGATACTTATCGAAGTGTTTAAACTCAGTAGCTGAGAACAGGTTTTAGAAATCATGGGTCGTAAGTTCAGATCCCTCACGAAGCAGCGTCTTATGTAAGTACATGAAATGTAAATAAGACAGAGGATAACATTCGCATTAAAATCCCATTAATTTTTTTAAAGAAGAACCTCCTTTCATTTTATTCGTTGTCCAGGGTCATGCATGTGCTGAGGGGAATATGGATGAAGGGGGATGAAGTAACAAAAGCTGAGGAGGAGGGGCTTCATAACCCTCGCCAAATATTATTGGAATAATCGAATGAAGAAAAATGAGAGTGACAGGGTATGTAGAACGCACAGGAGACTAGAAAAATACATAATTTTTTGTTTGAGAATCTGAAGGAAAGTGTCCACTAAGAAGACCTAGACGTAGATGGGAGAATAATATTAAAATCCACCGAAACGAAGTAAGACGTGAGATTGTGGACAGGATTCATGGCTCTGGATAGGAACCAGTGGCGAGCTGTTGTGAACACGGTAATGAACCCTCGGGTTTCACAACATGATCGGAATTTATTAAGTTGCTGAGCAACCATTAGCTTCTCAAGAAGAACTCAGCTTATGGATTTAGTTACTGCCAGGTCAGACAAATAGCTCAAGTGTGGAAGGCAAAATATCGTATCCTGGTAAATAAACTGAAACAACTGGCCAAGGTAGACTTCGGGCGATTACGTAACGACTTATCACCACCGCATCTCGATTTGGCCCTGAGCGAGTTCGTCCTGGACTAAGGGACGCTGGAGCTGAGGTGTGCGATAGCCCTGATCAGGCAGCACATTATCACATCCTCGGGCTTTGAGTTCCCTGGTTACTAAATAAGGAAGTAAGCTGTGATTAATCACGGAGTTGACTCGGATAAACGCTAAAAGGTTGACAATGAACATGAATGGTTTGAAAAAAAAGCAAAGCTATCCCTGTAACAGGCCGTGGAAGCCTATAGGGTTGTGAGACGTTGAGGATCCCCACATTTTCTAGTCAGTCGGCTCATAGATGGCGGCGAGGTTGTCAGCCTTACACGCCGGCCGCCCTTTACTCCCGAGGAAGATTCCTGGTACTCATTTCTGTCAGAGGCCGAGTCGAACCCAGGGCCGTAGTGCGGCTGTGCTACCTCATGCCTCTTACCTCGGTCTGTATATGGTGACATGTGCCACAGTTCGTATAGGTAAGTAGTACAATTCATTTCGCTAACCCACTACGTCCATGTTAGGTGGGTCTCTGTCACCACTGCATGGCGCGTCCTCAGGTTGCGGATAGAGGAGACGGCCTCCAGGTATGAAGGGTAGCTGCGAATGTATTGCATAAGCAGTCGCGGACAGCCGACGAGCTAGGGGTTTTGGCGTGGGTCTAACAACTCCTCACCGTAAAAAGAAGTTTGTTACGAAATATTTCAAGAAGCCTCGGATACGGTATTGAACCTTCGGGTTCCATAAAATGCTGGGAAGTTCTTGAGTAACTGCAGAAGTGGCGGGTTCTCAAGAAGGGCTCGGCTCCATCAGTGAGTGAGCGAACCGTGCTATGTACAGGGGACCTGTATCCAACTGAACTGTAGGTGGGAATGTTCAATAATTATATACCGGAAGGGGCTTTAAATAGTGAATGACGAAACAAAGGAGGAATAGAGAGGAATAACTGAAGAAAGAGCTGGTAGAGGAAATTAGAAGAACAGTTCACTTTATAAGGCCGTCAGTGAATACTGTTAATAAACTTCGGTTTAAATTGTGGTCTTTACCTGTGGTTTCTTTAACGACATCATCAACGTAAGGACAATTGACAAGTAACGAATTAGAAAATATTTTGGAGGAAATAGTTATCGAGATACTCCCCCCACCATCTGCTTCGAGTGACTAAGGAAAATCACGAAAAACTTCAGGCACAATAATCGCTGTTCCAGCCGGGATTGGAAACAAGCACCTCCCGAGTACAGGTCTTGGGCGTTACTGCTACCTCAACCTGCTACAACTTGTCACACCGTATAGTCTTGTAGGCGGACACCGAAATTTCACATTCTGGTCGAGGAATGGGGTGAATACATATGGACTGCAATCAAGCTAATCTTTGAGAGAAACGTGATATCGGTCTAGACGGTGTCACAACCCCGAAAACCAAAATCTAAGCAATCACCGCCGTGGAGACCCCAAAACTTGTTAACTTCGATTCATGTTACGTGCTTTCTTTCCCTTCCAGCCGTCAACAATAAGAGCCAGCAGCCGTGACCTCGTGACATTTGATAACACTAACTCGATATGACTTGCACTGTCGGTGGAGTACCGCACTACATACGCACTGAAATCCAACCAGGAAAACCCTATGAATGTCTTTTCATCTTCTTTCCCTATGATTCCAAATTCCACCAAGTTAACTGACGAATTCATGCATTGTTTTTGTTTCTGCCAGAGCGGTGAAGTACCGCGCACTGCGCAAGCCTATAGCGTGCTGGAAATTCCTCTAAATCTCACACGGTATATAAGATTCTCATCTGTTCTCGATTTCGTACAGATCCATCTGCAGGTTCAGCACCAAAGAACATCACATCTCGTTCAGCTGCTCCTCTGTAAGTACAATTAATTTAAATACAAAACTATTATAGCATGATTATATATAATGACGCGCACTGTATATCGAGCAATTGTAGTAGATGTAATAAATCGATTATTGAAACTATCAGCTAATTCGAATATAGTAAACATTCGATAATCCGGATCGAAATATGAAAAATTCTATTCACATTTGAGTACAGGTTTTGAAATACACGTGGGATTTAGGAGCAAGGGGGATTAGGGGCAAGAGGGCTTTCAGGCTGTGTTGTGGGTAGCTGGAGAGACTGAAACTACACAAGAAAATATCCAAGATTGGCTTCAGCTGGATGAAGAAGACCCTGCTTTCAGCTTCTGACAGAGGAAGAAACTGCTGCAGTGACATTTTTTATTTATTCAGCAGCATTACCTATATTATTACATTTTCCATTCACTTGTTTCATAAGGTTTATTGTCTTCTAGGACTATCTTTTGCTTCATTAATCCGGATGCCCCCCCAATCAATCCGGTTTATCGCGGGCTTACTGTAATTTAAGAAGTCGATTGAGCCGAATATCACATTCTTTGTACGTGCTTCGCTTCTGGACTTCTTGTAACTGACAGGGTTAGTTTCTATCGCTTACGTCTTTACATATTCATCTGAAAAGTCATCATCAGAAAAAAAATTGCAGAAATTAGGCATTTAAAATATAAATCTGAATTTCAGCTTAATGTACGCTGTGTAAAGTATTAATCGATTCAATAACAAAAATATAAATACTCTTTCGAGAATATTTATTATAGCGACAGACCACGGCCTGAACGACCGGGGTTCGATTCCCGGCAGGAGTAACTTTTTTTTTCTCCATAGCGTTAGCCCGGTTATGGGGTCCACTCATCCCCCTATCGAATGGGTACCACGGGTTGTTTTCCCGGAGGTAAATCAGCTTGGGCGTGAAGCTCACCACTCATCTCCATCTAGGACGAGAACAAGAATGGTGGAGCTACACCTCCACTTCTCCATGGTTCTTCATGGCGTGATGCTTAAGTAATTAATTAATTAAGTACAGGGATACCTTTACCTCAGCCGCGCCATAGCTCAAGAGGTTAGTCGCTGACTTCCCACCGCGGCGGCCCGGGTTCGACCCCGGGTCTTGTCAAGTGGGATTTGTGGTGGACAAAGTGGCGCTGGGGCAGGTTTTCTCCGAGTACTTCGGTTTCCTTTGCCAATCTTCATTCCACCAAATTCTTCATCATCATAATCACCCGGGGTAGGCTACAATAGGCGAATCAGTGGCCGCCGTGCCGAGTGGACCCAGTTGGACTCCACCCCCACTAAGCGAATTACCTTTACCCCTCTACATTATTTACGAACCATGATCAAAGAAGTCAAATACACAATCACAGATTTGTGTTATGACTTGATGTCGATGGGTTTTCTTCAGTTTTGACGATTTTGAAGTTTAATACGAAGAATAAAAGCGATAATTCTAAACGAATAAAATATGCGATTCGGAAATAATCCACTGTCTACATGGGTGACTTAATTGCCGTCCGTGTTAGCCAGTCTCTCTTTCCCTACTTTTCGGGTAGAAGTATTCCAATAAATAGCCATATTCAGATACGAAGAACGTCTCATAAATCATTCTGTGCATCTTTCAGTCAAGTTAATTAGGGTCCTGAAAGAGTAAAGTAAGGTAAAGCTATCCCTGTAACAGGCCTTGGAGGCGCATAGTGTTGTGAGACGTCGAGGCTCCTACATTTTCTAGACAATCAGTTCACAGATGGCGGTGAGGTCAGCCTTACGCTCCGGCTGCCCTTTACCCCCAGGAAGATTCCTGGTACTCATTTCTGTTAGAAGCTGAGTCGATCCCAGGGTCATGGTGCAGCTTCAAGGATTAGCTCAGAATCCAGTGACTTTATCGGGAATTGAACCCGCGACCTTCCGGTTTGTAGCATATTGCCTCACTACGCTGCCGCGTGGCCTTTGACAGTAAACTGGTAGATCTGATACTTCATTGTACTTGAGCATATAGCAACACTTTGTGTTATAATTTAGTTTACGGTTTTCAGAAAACAACTGGTGATTTGTCTTGAGTGACGAGGAGTTCTTTTCGTCAAAATGAAACTGATGCTGACTGTTGCAATTCTCGTGGCCGCAATAGGGTTCGCTTCAACACTACAGACATATGTCCCTTATGCACTCATACGTAGCGAACTGCAACCGGAGAATTATGACCTTGTGCTGGTGCCAATACAAGAGGGATCCCTGCGCGTAGCCCAAGGTGATGTTTCGTCACCAAAGGAACAAGACAGTGATCCTGACGGTCAGGAAATCTTCACGGTGAGATAGCTGTAAAACGTATCCAGCAGGCATGTTTCTAGAAGTATAGCTAAATTTAGTGATCCTGACAGGAAATCTTCGCGGTGAGATAGCAGTAATAAGTATCCAGCAGGAATTTGTTTAGAAGTATAGCAAAAGATAGTGATCCTGACAGGAATCTTCACGGTGAGATAGCTGTAATATGTATCCAGCAGGAATTTGTTTAGAAGTATAGCAAAAGATAGTGATCCTGACAGGAAATCTTCACTGTGAGATAGCTCTATTATGTATCCAGCAGGCATTTGTTTAGAAGTATAGCAAATCATTTGGTGATGAAGCCATAACCTCTCATCTGACGAACTTAAGAAGATCATCAAAATTTGTATATGCCTGTAACTGTACTAATGCCCTGTGTAAATGTTCTTATTTCAGGGAGAGCCCAAGTCCCGGGTCCGAAGGCAGGCTACAGTAGACGTTACTCGTAACACGCGAACTGGGAGCACAAGTGTCTCGGCACAAGGGCAAGGCAACTTGTGGGCAAGAGGGCCTCACAGAGTAGATGGAAATGCCCACTACTCGCGAGTTTACGGGGGCCGACAAGGAACAATGCACCCCAGTTACGGTGGCGGGCTCACGTACTCTAATTCGAATGGAGCCAGCGCCGGGGTCGATATAAGTCGACAGCGGCCTTTTGGGACCCAAGTTTCTGCCCAAGCTCAAGGAGTCCTCTGGAGAAGTAACAACGGCCGAACATCTGTTGACGCCAATGCCAGGTGGTCAAGAAATTTTGGTGGAGCTTATGGCACATCTCGGCCAAGTTACGGCGGTATGGTTACCTTCAGACACAGATTTTAGGAAGCACAGAAAACACCTGTTCGTCTTCTCCTCGTGTTCCGATAATCTAGTCCATTGTCTCACTCAAATCGGGTTCCGCGAAGCGAATATAAGAGTCTGCAAGAAAATTCCTTTATGATACGAATAACACTTTCCAGCATCAAGCCAAATAAAATGGGAATCTGTGAAGAAAAAATAAAACCCACTCTTCGCACTGAAAATTGTTAATAGGTAGCATAGTAGTTTTAAGCTTAATTTTTAGTATGTGTGAAATATGATTTTTTTTCTAAATATGTGCAATTAAATAATATATTTATCTTACATCTCTGTTTGATGTTTATTTCCTATTATCCTTATTATTTGTGGTCTAGTTCCTCAGTATCAAATATAAGCATTTTATTAGGGGTTCCGTAATTTTTTTCTAGTGTGAAATAGTTACATGGCCAAATTAAATTAAACAGGCTGTCCTGATCGAAGGATTTGATCTTTTCCTTAGTCCCTTGAACAAATTTCCAGAATAGTGTGTCGATATGGCTACGATCGCTTCCTTCCAAATCCTTTCGAATTCATCATTCATCTAACATCGAATTAATTAATTCGCTTAGTGGGGGTGGAGTCCAACTGGGTCCACTCGGCACGTCGGCCTCTGATTGGCCTATTGTACCTGCCCCGGGTGATTATGATGATGGAGAATTTGGTGGAATGAAGATTTGCAGGGGAAACCGAAGTCTCGGAGAAAGCCTGCCCCAGTGCCACTTTGTCCACCACAAATCCCACTTAGCCACACCCGGGATCGAACCCGGGCCACCGCGGTGGGACGCCAGTGACTAATCCCTTGAGCTATGGCGCGGCCGATATCTGATATCCATACATTCGATACTACATAGTCAAGCTACCTGAAGTGTCGTTAAATAAGCCGCCCCTCCCAGAGAAAAAACTTCATATTTCTAGTGCTAGCCAATTATGTTAAAAGACTTTCAAGAAATTGTTCTTTATTTACGGAACGTTTCTGAGAGTGCAATGTTCACTTCATTATGTTCTACAAGTAAGTGAGAATAATACAACGAAATAACACAGTCCTCTGTGCTTGTCTTTAATATAGAGGTGGAACTACAGCTCCACTTCCCCATACGTCTTAGGGGGAACACGGTAGTTTAGTTAGTTGACAGACTATGATACAAGCCGGAAGGTCGCGGGTTCGTTTCCCGATCAAGACATTGAATTTTTTTAATTTACTTAATCCTTCGAGCCGCTCTATGGCCCTGGGGTCGACTCAGCCTCTAACAGAAATGAGTACCAGGAATCTTCCTGGGGGGTTAAAGGGCGGCCGGCGCGTAAGGCTGATAGCCTCACCGCCACCTGTGAGCCGATTATCTAGAAAATGTGGAAGCCTCGACGTCTCACAACCCTACGGGCCTCCACGGCTTGCTACAGGGATAGCTTTACCTGTTTTTACATTTTATTCATTCTAAATAAAAATCCTGTGCTAGGATATTCATATCCTCAAGAGTGTCTTCTGATATGAAGACTGTTAATAAACTCTTCGAAAATGTAGCAAGGATCAAACATTTTGGTGCAAGGGAAACCAACCTAAATCAAAAGAACAAGTAAATTCAAAGCAGCTTAAACTGGTGGAATGTTGATGCTGCCCCGCTCGGAAACACTGAAACATGAAAATGAGAGTTACAGAACTATCGCCTTAATTTTTGTTCTGTATGGGTGTGAAGGGGGGAGAGGGTGGTGAGGGTGTTTGAGTATGCCAAGGACCCTGAGAGCTATACCAGCGGTAGCGTAGCTACTGGCAGGGCCTCCCTTGCTGAACAGGGTAGGCATCAGACGAAGAGAGACACCAAAAACTGATGCCGGAAGCAGCGTCATCAGCGGCGACTTGAAGCGCAGAGCAAATGATGCTCGAGATGGTTCAAGTTCGTATAGCAACAGGCGTGACCAGAGTGGTTTGAACGGCTGCTGTACTGCGATGTGGAAAGCAAATGGAAAAACTACCACATTATCACTTTTCCTGGATAGTCTCTTTCCAAAAACAGAAGATCGCATTAAGTGGAGAAACTGTTTTGGAAGAGGCTGTGGACCTGTCGTCTGACAGATTACTGATGAATGAATGAATGGGTGTGAAACTTGGTCGCTTGTATGAAGGGGAGAACGTAGACTGAGAGTGTTTGTGTACAGGGTACCTACTGCAATAACTGGACTGAAGACGAAGGAAGTGACGGGAAGTTTGGGTGTGAACCCACTTCATAATGAAAACTTTCATAACTTGTACTCGCCGCCAGATATCGTTAGAACCATCAAATCACTAGAGATGAAAGGGGCAGAGCATGTAGCACGCATAGGGCAGATGATGAATGCATATAGCATTTTAATTTGCAATCCTGAAGGGAAAAGACCACTTGGGAGATTTAGGCGCAGATAGAAAGGTAATATTAAAGCGTACCTTCAGGAAAAGTGTTGACCTATACATCCACTCCCCCACAAGCCTTCATAGCGTAGTGCTTAATTAGTTAAGCACAAGGACAACTTTACCTTCAAGAAAAGGCATGTGTGGGTGACGATTGGATTCATCTGGTTCATACCAGGGACTAATGGTTGGATGATATGAATATGGCAATGAATCTTCTCGTTCCATAAATGTCGGTGAATGTTTTGTGTAGCTGGACAACTGTCAGCTCCATTGGGAGTAAAAATGTTAGACCTATTGTCTTTATAACAATACAATAAGGCAAGAAAATTCTGGAAAAAGAATTAAGCAGTGGTGGTGGAGTAATCAATGCCGCATAGTTAAACGGAAGGGTCGGTGTGGCCACGCTGTGCATGCAATAGCCAGCACATATGTTATACTGCAGAATTATAATATGCGGAAAAACGTTATTTAACTGTGCAAAGATAAAACGTATGAGTTGCTTTCGTGAAATATGTACCAGGCACGAGATTCGGCCTTTATAATATTAAAATTATGCAGTTTATTGTGGGTTTCTTCAGTCCCTTCAGGCGAATGCATGAACAACAATTTCGACGGTTCCCATAACAGACATATCTGTGCTTGCACAGAGTGCTTAAAACACATTGCGTGTAAGGGATAGATCTGTCCGTCTATTCTCATATTTGAGATCGAAACCTATGGAATTTAACTAAATTAGATTAACCCAAGATGTTGTATGCTCATTTTGTTAATTTAATAGGAGCTCATCCTCCGCAAAACCCAATCATAACATCCAGTAATAAAGAAATACAAAATACGGGTTTCAAGCACTTCTAAGCGAGAATTTCTCGTGAAGACGACAGCTGACGACAGAGACCACTGTTTCAGAACCACCTGCTGGCAGAAATAGTACTGCTTGGAACCAGTGCGTGCAGGCCTCTATCGGATCACTGTGCTGTCAAAATCTCACTCGGTATAATTTCATAACTTTCTGTGGACTATTTAAGGGTGCTTACAGTATCCAGAATGATGAATTAGGAAGGATATGGAAGGAGACGGTGATTGGCTTAAATGAGGTGCTATTCTGCCGTTAGACTGGAGGGACCGAGTACAAGAAGCCTCAGTCAGGTTAGCCAAAGTCCCGGCCAAGACTAGAACCCAGTGAAAGTCTACAGCAGTTCTGATATAGCAATGTGCTCGGTGCTACTAGGGACATCACTAGCATCAGACATGACTAGAATGAAGTGATTTGAGGTTCTCAAGGTGGATGCCGATACCTGAAGATGGAGGCAGTAGATTGCTCCGAAACGTTGGTTCGTACCTATATAAATTACAGGCTAGATTTGAAACTTAAAAAATATACAGGATGTGTGGGTATGGAGTGGAGTCAGCTGGCTTAGTATATGTTCCAGTGATGGACAACGTAAACTTGTCCGTGTTTAATTAAGCACTATTTCATTATGACGTATGTGAGAATGGAGGTATAACTCCACTGTCCCTAACCTCGGCACTAGATTGAGGTGAATGGTCAGCTTCACGCCCCGGCCTCATTCCTGGGAAATTAGCTATCGGTTATCATTGGTAACAAAATTGCCTGTCTGGAATCGAACTCAGGATCAACGCATAATTTGGTGGGATGGAAATTGGTAGGGGAAACCGAAGTAGTCGAAGAGAACCTACCCCAGTGCCACTTTATTCACCACAAAACTCACATGACCTTACCAGGGATCGAACTCGGGTGGTCTTGGAGGAAAGCCGAAGACTAACCTCCTGAGTTATGGTACGGGACTACTCTAAGTTTGAGTGAGCGGCCTGAAAAAGGACAAAAAACCTTCCTGTTTATGTATTTTTCGCTTTACCTGTTATGTTCTGAAAATACAAGTGCCATGTAAATCGGAATATAGTCCTACAGGAATATTTCTATCTCCTGAGATGTGACGCCATGTAATCTGTGGTTTATTTTACTAGTGTGTCAACATCTGACGTCGTATCGTATGAAGGCTGATGAATGATGAGGCGGAAAGGATTTGGAAGGAAGCGATCATGCCCTACTCGAAAATACCACCCCAGTATATCTTGAAAGACTGAGAGAAGCCATCATGAGATCTGGTGTCCCGGTCGATATACGGAGCAAGCAGCTCCAGAGAAGAGGCAGACTCCACTGCTTCGTATTCCAGAAGACAGGATAGGCAGTTCCTTGAGAACGTTAAATGTGGAAAGAATATAACTCCTTCACCTGACTTGCCCCACTTTGTGCTTGCTGCAACAGGTGTTTCTGCATTACCGGAAACTGCATGGAATGGCCTCTACAACCACTACGTGTGGGGGGAGGGGGGAGAGTAAGGAAAGGTCATGAGATGTGTTGCCAGTGTCGGCCACTGTATGGTACCAAGTCTCTGCTTCCCGCCTTATTGCAGCTATTTTTACGATGGTTTTGCCTGATAATGCTAGAGAGAGGGACGAAGAGGGTTGTGGTGGACATCAGCGGACCACCGGACTCCTGGGTCACACAGCTAAGCGCTACCAGGTACGGACATCGCCAATCGAAACCCCTCGCATGACACGACAGAAGGACCAAGCGGTGGACACCTCCCACCCCCCCGCAACTCACCTGACTCTACAAGGAACGTGGGAACGTGGAAGCAATCCTGGATCAAATATACTTGCGTCTCAGTCAATACTCAGAGCTCCTGTGACTCAGTAAGTATAGTGACTAGATTACAGGCTGGACGACCGAAGAATCGGGGTTTGATCCCAGGCAGTAGTGATTTTTCTCCTCACTGCCTTGTACACATCAGCTCTGGGGCCCACTCAGCCTTCTATCCAAAGAGTACAGTGGGCTCCTCCGGAATAAAGTGGCCGGGCATGTGAAGCTGACTACTCA